AAATGTTGGCTATGTTGGTTTGACCCTGGTATGTGTTGTTTTAAAGTCATTGGCTTTGCGCAGTTGGACTCATGCACAGTGTACTTCGCTTCCTGGCAGAATTCTCAGCATGCAATGAGTAAACSAACACACTTGTATTACTGCTTAGTCAAATTTTTAGCCAAAGTATTACTCTAGGGCGAGTATTCCAATTTCTAGATCCCTGTTTACTCGCTGCTTCTGAGTATTAGCTTTAGTACTCAGGGGTGCATTTATAATGCCTGCATTAATTGTTCTATGACAATTTAGTGTGAGTAGGGGAAAAATTTGTTATTGTTAGCAGCATTTTATGGCTTAACTGCTCTGGCTGACAGCCTTGCTGCCCCTTTGTGGCATAACCATGGCAAAAATGAAGCTGCTATCTCCTTACTAGTTATAGTTCATAATTGGACAAATTAATTTAAACCTTTCTGGTTTAAGCTAAAATCACAAAGGTATAACAAGACCCTGAAGCACATGGGAGTTGTRTGTACTTCTTTCACAAAGGAGATAAGAGAGGAGAAAAAGAATGGTAAACTAGGATATTCTGAAATTGGGGTTCTCTTTCTACAGTAGTTGTTTAGRCAGTGAAAATACATTTAATAAATAAAATATATTTTTTACTTTTTGTAAAAGGCAGTAGCCTACATTTTGGTACTTATTTACTTAATTATTMATTCAGCTATTGAATGAGGCTGAAATAAGTTTAATTATATGCTGAAGTCTTTTCACGTACTGAATCTCCCATCTTTGTGTACAAATCTCCTCAGTTCTCCAGCAATTCTTCTCATTGTAATACTCAGAATAATTGCCYTGCATTTCAGTTTCAAGCTGGGTTAGATGGAGTAGCACTAATGTGCTCTTAAAATGGCGAAGAATGGCTGTACATAGTAATAGCAAATATTAAGTAAAATTAAAAAGGTGGTCAGTTGTTTGTTCCTGTTGTTCCACTGTCATTAAATCCAGGTAATTAAATCACTGAAGAAGTGTGCTACTTTCTTTTCAAGATTTTCTGTGCATCTCTGAGCCCATTTTTGTCTTCTCCAAGATCCTTCAGAAGTGTCTCATCCTATATCAGGCCTGCATATGGCTTGGGAAAGAGAACACCTCATGACTTTCTCACTTGTCAGGCTAAGCAAGGAGTTCTCTTCAGCCTGCCTCCTGGAAGATCTTACTGTAGTAATCACTAAACAGGGTGGATTTTGTTGTTGCTTGCTACTTGTTTTTTTTTTACTTTGAAGAAAACAGTTTGCCTACATTTCATAAGTAAGGCCAAAATCTGCCCTCCGGTAGCATAGCAATTTGTGACTTTCWAATATCAGTTAGAATTAATATATTTTATGTACCTAATTTTGATGCATTATAGTTTGGGATCCCTACAGATCTAGATCTTATGTTTCTCTAACCAGAAAATACTAGGAATTTGTTATAGGGGAAAGTCATAATGGTATCTAACTACACGAAAATAACACATGAACTGTGATYTAGCAGGTTGTTGATGCTCTTCTGAGTCATTGACCCTAGAAGAAGGAATGTGATTTTAATACACCACAGGTCAGAGTAGATGGGGTACATTYGTTCTGTTTGCAAAACTGAATAGTAACATGAAATATTGTAAACTAAATTTGTGAAATAAGTACAAAATTCCTTGCAAAGCAGGGAAACAAAAATCTGTWGTTTTTTGAAACTTTCATAATAAAGTTTCTAAGGAAGGTGGACTTTACTGGAGAAGTTTGAGTGTACAGAGGTACTGCAAGTTTCATTTTAGAATAAAATCTTCATGAGCTTTGTGGAATCAATTAATTGATCTTTTTAGTGTCATATAAGAGACATTAAGAGACATATAAGAGAGGGGATGCAAACAGTAAATTAGTAAAGAAGAAATACAGGTTTGGAATTATTCTTTTGTCAGAGCCGTTACGATAATGGAGAGTAAGTTTCTTGAATACTTGAATACTTCTTGAAGCAGGGGAAACCAGCCCTTGAGTGATGTATAAAGCTATCACCTGAACCGTCCTCAAAAGCTAAGTTGTTTTGAATGTGTGTGAGCTGCCATCTCTGCTCTACATTGGACTTRTTGTTGATATGAGGTACAAAAGGGCTGGGACTTTGCTCTGAAGAGAGGAGTGRATTATAAAAGCAAGTATAATTAGGCCAGTATGTGCTGCCCTTTTTTCTGGTGGCACCGGCTTAAGCACCTCCTCATGTACCTTGCATCAGCTCGAAACTGGTTTGCAGTGACTAAACAAGTGCCTGAGCCAGTCCAAGTGAGGAGGTGGTGCACAGCTCAGCAGTGAGAGCTGGGAAGGKCAGGATTCATCACAGCTCTGTGAGCTGGCACTGCTGCCCGAGCTCGGGCTGTGCTGGGAGCAGGAAGGACAAACGGTGCTGGATTCGCAGAAGGCACCGTGTTCCACAGCTGCTGTCTATAAGGCATTGGCCTGGGAATCGGAGAGCCCTCTGTGGAGACTGCATAATTAAATAGTACATTAAAAATCAGTATACTGCCACAAGTACTAGTTAATATGTAGACACATTTGTTTCGGGGCTTGCACTTGATTTTGTTTCCTGAAGATAACTTTAGTAATTATGTGAAAGGAATGGAGAGATTGACCTTTGAGAAGGACCATTTGAGCTAGTGAAAACCAGCATGGAAGTAACATTTGAATTTGCTATTTGAAAGGGACCGGCTTAGTGGATTCCAAAGCAATAGCTACTTTAAAGATAACTGAATCCTTTATAGCAGAATTTGAAGTCCGTGTGTTTTCCCTTCCTTAGACATCAGCTATTAACATGTGGCTGTTATTTCTTCTTTACTAGATGCGGGAAAAAGAATATTTACAAACAGGATGAAAATACTTGAAGAACATCACTTATCTAAAATTTATGCAATATATTTCAGTAGTGTGCACTTAAGTAGACATTGCTACTTAATATTAAATGTTATGTGTATTTTCTGTGGACATTTGTTTACAAAAATCCTTTTGCAGTTTGAATTTTGTGTCTGCTGATATTTTATAAATTTTGTGTGGCTGATGCTCCATTSCACTTCTTTTCCTGTGGTCACTGTCCTGTATTTCCTTGTGCTATCTTGTCTGAGCCTCATTTGCAGATTCTGCAGAACTGTGKTTGCAAGGGGCAATGATTGATCAAAATGTTCAGAGGGATAAAAAAGGCAGATGTGCACAGAGAAGAAAAGGGTGGGGAAAAGCAAATAAGCAGAAGCGTGTTTGTTTCTCTGTGCCTGTGACTCACTTTTTCATAACACAAGAATTTTCAAATGAAGAAGAAAGCTAATTCAAAACAAACAGGAAGCAAGAAATAATTGCCTTTGCACTGAACGGTGAGAGGATTCAGTACTTTCAGACTATTAAATTAACAAGCTAATTAATTTGATTGGCTTTTAAGCATGTACCTGTTATAAAAGCTGTATTATATACTATTATATTAATAGGTACTATTTCATAATATGGAGAGTATTATTTAGAGTAGGGTGYGTCTGATTATTAATACAGTGGATGCAGTCATAATTTTGTGATCTATCCATAATTTATGTTTACCTTCATCTTTATCARCATGACTGATTATTTTCTTTTCCTTCTATTGAAGATCTAAGGCRTATCTGTTGGGGGAAGAAAAATCTTGCACAAACTGCTTTTCATTTTTTTCACATACTGTGTTTGAAATTTCARACAACTACCTGAGCATTCCTGTGCTGGCATTCCCCTTGGTTACTGAGTCCTGTRTCCTGGACACAATGGAATTTTGGGTCTCTGTTCAGGGCCGTTGTGTTATGCCATATAAGATCCATATCATACATTCAGTGCCATTGTCTTGTATGAGATCTGAAGAGCCCTGGTGCTGTGCTCTCACTCCATTCTAAACCCATCTTTCCCCTTGACACCATGGTTTTGAGCTATGTATCAGGTTTTTGGCAAGTATAATAATAGAGGCAAATAAAGGAATGGAAAATTTTGCATGAAATGCTGAAAAAAGGAACAGTCAATTGCTTTTATGAGAAAAACGTAGGAATACATTCATTTCTCTAAACATAACATCTTTTCCACCAGCCCTGTGCCTGCTTTGGGACTTGATGAGATTCTTTATGAGTGCAGGAAGCCAGGGGGTTCTACCATTCCACCAGGTTCCTGTAGTAGCTATTGTTATCTTTGAGTACTGAGATTAACTAATTCCAGTAGTTACACCTGGCTGTCAGTAACATTCTGGTCCCCTCTTTTAAGCTGTCACTGCTCAAGTCATAGCCAGTCACTCCGGTCTTCTGCCAGGTGACTCATTTGTAACCTCAGATGCAGCAAATTTGACTAGAAGTCTTGTGTCATAAGCAGTTTCAGATTAAATAAGTTGCTGTTAGCATTAATTAACTCTACAAATGGGTGTTTACAAAAGTACTTGGTGATATGTCAGTCTTGAAATTAAGTTAATTATGTGACCTAGTATTGCTGAGAAGTAAAAGCATCCTGTTGGTTTTCTTTAGCTTCACCGTGGTCTTTTATTGCAATTCCTGAGTTCTGTTTTCTGTCAGAGGCTTTCCTTGTGCCCTCAGTGCTAGCCTTCCCTATAGCAAGCTTGTCATACAACACTGTTACCTTAAATATGTRAGCAGTTAGAATTTTTGTGTGTTGACCAACTTAAATAAGAATTRTTGCATATATGTGGTAAAAGATGTTATTGCTAATGATGTTTGATCCTCTACTGCAAGCAGTAGTTCAGGTACACTTTGTAGCAATTATTTGCATAGTCTATGTGCTAGAATTCACTCATGTTAAACAACTCAAAATCAAATACAAATATTTCACGATGATGGGAAGGTGTTGCATCCTAAGGAGGATGTTTGGAATTTGATACATTTGTTAACTCCTATAAATAAGTTTTATATAAACAAAATTTTACTTGAACTTCTGTTTTTTGTCTTCATTTTTCCCAGGTATTTTACCATTCTTTTTGTTTGTTTTTTTTTACAGTTCTATCTTCAAGACACTAAAAGTAGTAATGGTACCTTTATTAATAGTCAGAGACTGAGTAGAGGATCTGAGGAAAGCCCACCGTGTGAAATCATGTCAGGTGACATCATCCAGTTTGGTGTAGATGTGACGGAGAACACGCGGAAAGGTAAGGGTATGGATCATTTTTTAGTTTCTTTTCAAGTATTTTTATTTAGAACATCTTACTTATAATCCAGTCTTTAAATGCATTCGCATTGTAAAAACATGGTTTTGTTTGGGTGGGTTTTTTGTTACTTCWTCCCTCCTTTGTGCTGGCAGGGAGCCCTGTGCCCATGTGGTACCRGATCAAGAAACTCATCTGCTAAAAACACAGACTCTATTTCTACCCCCACGCCCCCAGGCGGATTTTAACTGGGTTGTTTCCATGGCCTACCTTCTTCCATGGCTGTGTGGCTGCTACTGTGTGCMGGGGAAATGCAGGTCTGGGAAGGGAGGCTCAGCAGGGGCTACGTGTTCATTTATTGGCTCACTTCAATKGGCCTGTTGCAATTTTAAAAGTGCAACATAGGCATATGTGTGTAGTGCTGCGTTGGGCTTTTTATGTTTAGATTTTATTATTATTTTTTAATTKTAATTACCTTTCTTTCAAGCCCTTTGAACCCTAAGGTTCAAAGCTTATAGTGTGGCAGAAGTATGAAATGGAATTTCTTRGTCAAGTAGTCAGCATAGGTTTGAGAAAAGCTAACTGAATTATTTTCTAGGTACACACTATTTCTTTCTGTGACTGCTACTGATTTTGATTTCTGCAGGTGCTTTAAAATGAGAATAGAAAAAAGTTGCTAACTGACAAATGAGGTGATGGCATTTTTSTTTGCATTATTTTTCTTGCTGTYYTCTTSCCAGCATGCATACTTAGGAGATCTTGTATTATSGCAATAGCTCTGTATATGTGTTAATTAAAATGCAGTCTCATGTCTTTTGAAATTACGTAGTGTTTCAGGAACTGTTTCTTTCTCTTTCTGGAGGGTTATTGGGGATTATGAGGTTGTAATCAGTATTGTCAAGACTTCTTATCCCTCATGGGTGTGTTGCTTTCTGCACACATTGAACTTCTGGCCATTTTCTGTAGAATCCTACCTACTCAGTAACAGCCAGGTTTGGCAACAAAATKTCAGAACTACCATGGTTGCTTTTCCGCTTTACTACTTTTCTGAACAAGACCTCCACAGAGTTTATCCTTAAAGAGCAGTGTATTAGAAAATAATGAAAGAAGAATATTAACTAGGAATGCTGATGATAAAGTTCTTTAAAACAAATAAAATATCCATCAAAACAAACCTCTCTCAGACCAACTTCCCCAAAGCTCAACAACCAAACCACAGTACAACAGAACAATTTTTTAAAGCACATTAAGTGSACAAAACATAGAGGTGACACCTGGCTCTGTTACTCTGAAATTTTGTTTTTAGTCAGAAGGGTTGGTTTTCAGCTCTGAAGTATCAGAGGAAGGTCAATGAACGTCTTTAAAGAAAACATTTAAGTAYTGGTGGTGTTTAAGTATTTTATCATGGAGATCTTTTGGAGCTGTAGTATTTTTGAGTGATTTATTGTAGTGAAGGTCTCATCGCATTGTTTTRCTTTTCTCAAAAATGATGTTGCAAAGATTGGACTCCAGGATGCCTAACTGAAATTGCCTGTGAGTTACTTAAAATGTTTCCATGTGAAGAGTTTGCAAATATTTGTGAATACTAGCAGTATACATGGAAGAAATCAAAGGAATGTGTTGCATCTAATGATACTGTAGCTATTAATTGGATGAGATGCTGTCCTTCCTAAGAGAAGCTGAATTTGTTCAAGTGTATTTAGACTAAAGCAATTTTTATTATAAAGTTTACTTGGAAGAAAAATTGGACTTGACTTGTTTTTATCAGCAGTTTGCAGTTAGTTTATGGAAACATTTGTGGAAAGTTCATGGTAAGCAAATTCTTGCCATGAATTTTTGCCAGTAGTAGTTCTTTGCTGTGGTTTTATGTTAGCTTTACAAAGCATGATCCCAGTGACATGGCATTTGTGTAATGAGTGATCCAATTATGTAGCGTTCCTTGTCCTTTTCTGTAGCTTTGAACATGGAAGCTGTGCTCATGTTACTCATGAATGTGTTGAGCTTGCTAATGGGAAGAGGATACAAGTTTGCTTTCCTCCCTCTGCTCCCCCAAGCAGGGAATGAAGATTGTATCATCACAGGGTGTTTACCTGTAAATGCAGTTGGAACGCATATAAACATGAGGTTTTCACCAGTTCATTTCAGTAGTCTTAGATGTTACTGTTAATCTAATCTAGTCATGAAAGAGACAGGAAAGTAGTTTTTAAATTGGTGATTCCCTTTAAAAGCACTTTGCACTCTGGTATTTACATAATGCCTTACTTGCACAAGACATTTCAGGAATCTGCTCTCTGTAATTATAAGGTAATGACAGGACAGAGTGAGTGTACTTGCCCATGTAAATTCTGAATTGTGTCAATATTGCTAGAATACATTAATTTTATTGTTCAGGCTGTGTTTTAGTTAATAATTTCCTTGCAAATGTGATCTCGATTTAGTTCATTAAAATAGTGGCATGTTCAGTATGTGRTATTTCAGGTTATCAGGTATGAGCACCAATTTCTCGGCTTCCTGCTGCTGTGCCAAAGTCAGTAACAGGTTCTGGAGGAGTGTTTGCATYCCTCCTGCTCTCTTATTTGTCCACTTGCTGTATTTCTGACAAGCACAGGGGCCTGGCTGTTTCCCTCTCCTTAATACAGCACTTACCTATTAATATCTCACTATGCTTTTCTCTGTGTTAGTGTGGTTTATATTCTTTTAGCACTTTCTAATTTTCCTACTCAGTGCCAGAGCAATCCAAGAGTTAACTGGTGATATTTCCCTGCATGGAAAGGAGCAGCAGCATTGCAAAGGAGGGTCAGATAATACCAAGATGATTTAGTTCAAATACAGTTTATGCACTTTTTTCTAGTCAGGTTTGGACTGTCTCATACATCTGTTGTGTCATGGGGTGTYTGAGGGAGGTTATGTAAGTGGGGAGCCCAGTGTGGGCTGCAGGACMGTGCACAGACCACCGAGGGGCATGGGGGTCTCCTCAGGGCTGGGTACCACATTAATKAGTAAAAATAAAAGCAAGAGCATCATTGGTTAGTTGTTTCCCTGGGAAGGAAAACAATGTATGTAACAGAAATGGTTTCTGTACTCCCATTGTGCTCCAGTGCAGCAGAACCTGTCAGGGTTCAGGACAGGTTTTGGAGTTGTGAAGTGTGGGCCAGCTCTGTGTTTTGGAGGGGAGCAACAAGTTCGTGTCTGGAGGGTGAAACAGGAAATGGAGCCAGGAGCGAGGTTTCATTCTGTGGAGGGAGCTGTGGATGTGGGGCAGGTGTTTGACTCTGTGGAGGGAGCAGTGAATGTGGAGGGAGCTGTGGACGTGGATGAAGCAGTGGAGAGGTAGCAGTGGATGTGGGGTGGCTGTTCCAGTCCATGGAGGGGAGCTGCGGATGTGCATGAAGCGGTGGCTGTGGGGCCGGTGTTTCAGTCCGTGGATGAAGCGGTGGATGTGGCCGGTGTTTCAGTCCGTGGATGAAGCGGTGGATGTGGTGCGGTGTTTCCCTCTCTGGATGAGGCGGTGGATGTGCCCGGTGTTTCACTCTGTGGGTGAAGCAGTGGATGTGGTGCGGTATTTCCCTCCCTGGATGAGGCGGTGGATGTGGCCGGTGTTTCCCTCTCTGGATGAGGCGGTGGATATGGTGCGGTGTTTCCCTCTCTGGATGAGGCGGTGGCTGTGCCCGCTGTTTCCCTCTCTGGATGAGGCGGTGGATGTGGATGAGGCGGTGGATGTGGATGACGCGGTGGATATGGTGCGGTGTGTCCCTCCCTGGATGAGGCGGTGGCTGTGCCCGGTGTTTCCCTCTCTGGATGAGGCGGTGCGTACGCGCGGCCGTTCCCGCTCGGAGGGGGCGCGCGGGGCGGGGCGGGTTCGGCGGCTGCGGTGGCTGGCGCTGGGGCGCCCCCTGGTGTCGGCGCTGCGCAATGCCCGCCGTGCCGGGGCCGGGCGGGAGCGGCGGCCCCGCGGAGCGGCCGGAGGTGAGTGGGATGGAGAGTGGGATGGAGAGTGGGATAGAGAGGGGGTGAACTGTGGGGACAGCGGGTGCCTCAGCCCCACTGGGAAACCAGGGCTTGCTCTACTGCCTTTTCTTTTTAATTCCCCCCCCAAAATACTACAGACCTGAATTTAAACCCTTGCTGCTGTACTGTGCACTCAGTCGTGTATTCATGTTTTCTGTGTCTCTTTACCTTTCCCTCAGGCTTTCTCCTTATTTTTCCAATTGCAATGAACTGACAGCTAAAGGTCAGACTGCAGAGTTTGGGTGTTGTTTCCTTTCTTATGATTTTAATTTTATAAATTTATCAAAATGCTTGGTACCTTTTCCAGTCCYTGTCTATTTGAGACCTTTTTCTAGATGTCCACTCTATCTTAATTTGACACAAATAACACTTCTGCAGATTTTAGGAATTTTTGTCCGTCTACCTAGTTTTTGACGGAAAAAAAATCAGAATTGTATAATCTTACAGCAGACCAACCTGATATGTGACCCAAAAGTAAAGCTGTCTGTTGGTATTGAATGCCAGGTATCCTACTGTTGTCTTATAAAAATCATAATTTCCTCTTAAAGGAAAAAGTTTTCATTGTGAAAGCTATGTATTAGGGGCTACAGCTAATAATGCTAATGTATTTTTTAAATGGTTTTGCAAACTGGATTTATTCTATKGTAAATAAAGACCCCAAGCCCTGCAGATTAATCTGTTCTGTTCTGGCATGTAAATTTAATACTTTACCAGGTCAGCTTGAAAAAACAAGGTGCTCTAGCCAGGAGRATATGTCTCAAAAGCGTTAGCCTTTAGGTATAAATAAACGTTAAAACCAACTCATCTCAGTTGGATCATTTCTCCTGTATTTTTAGATTCTATTGAGGTAGCTTCCTTAAAGATCTGTCTCATTTCCCTGGAGTATTACCAATGTCCTAAAACRCCCATTGCCCTTTTTTTCAAAGCCAGATTAACTGTTTTGCTGATATTAATAACTGAGAAAGTAGAGCAGCTATTTGTATGTTAGTGGGTGCTGGAGGCATAGTGATACATGACAGGTGACCACATACTTATTTGTCTGACTCGTGGTAGTGTTTTGAGAACAATGTGTAKCTATCTTTCCATGTATCTGGACATGATTTTTGCTTCCCAATTCATAGAACCGTACAAGGKAAAAGAAAAACCTGACCAAGACAGAGACAAATATTGCATTTCCTCATCTTATTCCTTAGGATCTTTCTAGAGTTCAAAGAATTTTGGATTTAGTCCTCAAGGGGCAAGTTTACCTTTTCTGAAATAAAAAGCCACTTGTCTAGGGCTATGCATTGGATGTGCACTACAAGCATCCYGAAATAGTGATGTGTTGTCTTGAATGATGCTGCTTAAGGTGTTCAAAAGGATGTACTTCTCAGTGGTTCCTACACACTTTCTCTGCATTCCCTTTTTGATCCTTGTTTGTAAATAATAATCACAGATCTTGAAGTGAGTGTCAGTAGCACARATTGGATGTGTTACTTTTCAAGTCCCTGGATATGCTTGTAGGAATCTTGTCAAAAAAGCAGCTCATTATTTTGTTTATATCTCTRCATTCCCATTACCTAGCTCAGGTAAGACATATTCCTCTTCCCTCATTTTATGATATCAAAACATGCCATTCACTGTTTYATCTTACTGTAGTAAAGACAAGTTTTAGGTATTGCTGCACATGGTAGAGTTGGAACTGCTCCACAACAGGACTGAGTACACAGCATAACCTCTTTGAATTTGTAATTATGAAGTTTCCTGTGTCCAGAGGAGGTTTGAGAAGGCAGACCCAGGCACTTGAAGGTGTTCATGTCTCTTCCCTCTTTGCCTGTCTCAAGKTTTCTTAAGACAGTTTGCTTGGTTATTGTAACATTAAGAACTGAACTTACAATTAAATAGTAATAGATCATGATGACTTAGTTTTTTTTTTTCTTTTCAGTTACCCATGGATGTATAGTCTCCACAATCAAACTGTTCCTTCCAGATGGAATGGAAGCTCGATTGCGATCAGAGTGAGTATTCCCACATATACCAGAATCCCACTATTGTATGATGAGGACATTATGTTTAAAATCACCATAGGAACAGTTTATTTTTCTGTCGTCCTACAAAGCAAGTAACAGAGAGCATGGTTCTTTTGCAGGCATTATGAGAAAAAATCTTATTTGCTTCTTGTTTTTAGTAATTAAGACAACTATGAAGAATAAAAAAGTTCTCTAAAAGAAAAATTCTTACTAAGTTGGGCTTTTCTGACTGTGGTTTACACTGCTGAAATGGGTATTAGGAAAAAGAAAAATATTGAGAAAAAGAAAATGAGCAAATTCTGCTGCCCTCTTGAACTACAATGAGGTTAATGGAAGCTCAGAAGAATATTGACAGCATTTTCTGTGTATATGTACATGTTTTTTAGAATTTTTCCAAGGGTAGTAGAAATGAAAAACTTAATTTTATTTTCACTGAGTGTTAATTACARATGATGTAATTTTAGTCATCTTTCAATGCTGATAATCCTTCATTATCAACAGTTTTATGGGGCTTATTGCTTATTTAAATATACTTTTATCATTAGTATAGAAATACTTGCATGAAGCTGTAGGATGGGGAAGATAAGTAAAAGCAAATTATGACAGATTTTTCATGTAATTGCATGTCCAAATAAGAAATAGGAGAAATGTATGGTGTTAAATTTTTAGTTTTGATGAAAATGTCCAAGTACAACATTTACATGTTTTGTGTTCACTTTTTTTTTTTTATTTCTCAGTGTTATCCATGCTCCATTACCGAGTCCTGTTGACAAGGTAATTCAGTAATTTGCTGGTTTATGCCTTAATTAGCCACGTGCTATTTTCAGATATGCTATATAGGTGAAGAAATAGCGAAATCTGTCCAGTTGCATTTTGTTGTTTTCCGCTGCCTGCTTTTATCTTGTGTAATATTTTGGGTGACATTTACCATGGAGAAGGTGATACAATATTACAGTTTATATTGGAAGGAAGTTGACATTTTACATTGTGGCACCTAAAACTTGGCTTTGGAACAAAACCATTGATGTTAAGATGGTTAATTTCCATGTACGGGTTGACAGAGTAACAGGTCTTGCATAATTTAATATTTGAGGTTCTGTGGCACTCAAGAGTAGCTCGTGATTTAGTGTTTGGATGAGGTCTGTTTTCGTTATACCACGTTTTTTATGGAGGAGAAGCTGCGCTGCGCAGTCTTGGAGGTGCTGTTGTGTTCCCAAGGAGGATTGAGACCAAACCTCTCTGCTTCTCTTGTATAACCAGTTGCTCACTGTCGAGTCATGGATGTCAGTATTGTCAAGACTAATTCTTAAACTCAGTTTTGGTGATGTGGAACTTGTAGAAAAGCTGTTAACAGATATTCCCTTGAGAAAAGTCATCAGGAGTTGATTATTTCTCTAGTGTGTTGGTGGTTCAAGAACTAGTGCAAAGACACGCAGTGGGGCCTAAGTCACAAGTCCTAAGTCCCAAGTTGGGAAGTTCTATGATTAAAAAAAAAAAGCATAAATAGTAACAGAAAAATAAAAGAAAAAAGATGTTATTATTAGATAATCTGGAGTTTACCTTTTTGACTAGATTTAAGTGAATTTTGCATTATTTATGTTTAATGAAAAATCCAAAACTATTCTGATTCTTAACTGTCTTCTTTTTCAGGTTGCTGCTAACACTCCCAGTATGTATTCTCAGGAATTGTTTCAGCTTTCACAGTATCTACAAGTAAGTTTTCTTCTAAGGGCATCTAGTTTGGCTAAATATTTTTGTTCAAAATGCAAATCTTATGCCGTGGCCTGTGTCTGTTGGAAGCTACAAAGAAGGGGACARTGCTGGCAGCTCTTCCTCCTCACTGATGTCACCAGCCTTTTTGTGCCTGCTTCTGTGTCAGTTTTTATAGGTGTGTTTTTTCCCAAGATGTCATATCACAAAAGAGTGAGAGACWGCAAAATGGCAGCACATTAAACTGTGTGTTGATAGATAAAAGTCAACTCTTTGGAAAGGTTGATAAAATCACCTTTCTGGAAAAAAAAAATGAAAGCCTTTTTGCTGGTAAATTCTACCCAGGTTTAACTGTGTATAAAGTCTGCTGATATATTTTGCCTGGTTTTGTTTGTTAATAGCAATTTGTATTTGTTCACATCAAGGCTTTTGAGATGGATACTATCTTTATATGTATTTGCTGACATAGCAGGAAGCAGCTCATGCAGATGCTCTTTCTTGGGAAGCCAAATACATACTCACTCACCAATCTGTTCACTCCCCATATCCTGGAGTTGTTAACGAAGACACTCTTCTGTCTTCCTGTCATAACCAAAATTCAARCAAAAATAGTTGTTCTTGCTTGACATTTCTCTTTTGTGACCTCATTTGAGGATGAACAGCTCATTGCATGGGAGCTGCCAAGCTGCCTGTTGGTGTCTGCAGTTTTGATACTCTAATTATTGACAAGACAAAGTGTCTCTAAGTCTTGGAAAGAATAACAGTGTGTCCTCAGCRTGTGTCATGTATGGTGAAAAATGCAGGTTTTAAGAACCTGAGGTTATAGGATAGCATTTTCTAATTAAACTACCCAAATAAATGTGTGGATGGATAAAATGGAATGGGCTTATGATGGTTTCAAACAAGTGACAGTGTTTGCTGCTCACATTTCCTTTTTTTGTTGTATTTTGAGATCTCTTCTGTTGCTTCTGATTTCCTGAGTTGTTCTAGCTGAACTGACTGGTGCCTGCTCTCTTCACAGGAAGCCTTACATCGGGAACAAATGTTGGAACAGAAGCTGGCAACCCTTCAGCGACTACTTGCTGTCACACAAGAGGCTTCAGATACTAGTTGGCAGGTATCTGCTGTCCTTTTCCTTATGGACTAAACTATGCAGTGCCATATAAATTTTAGCTATTAATGGGGGGAAAAGCAGCAGAAATAATAAAAGCTTTATGGTGATTCTCCAGAACTGTGCAGAAGACAATGATTAATAAATGTAGTGGTTGTGTACAAGCTTGAGACAGCTATTAGCAGTAAAATACTCAAAAAAATTCAGGTCTTTAAAGCAGAAGTCTACTGTCTCTACACTAAGCATATGATAATTCTAATGTGATACTTCTTTTCTTCTAGGCTTTAATAGATGAAGACAGGCTGCTATCAAGACTAGAGGTTATGGGAAATCAGTTACAGGCTTGTTCAAAGGTATGTAGTTCATTTGAAGTCAAATGTTAGGAACACTATTAGGGCAGCTCTTTTCAAGTGTTTTCAAAGTAGCTAGTTGTAGGAAAAAGAAAACTTTGCAAAATGGGCCTATGCAGTTTTGATCATCTGAGTGGCATGAAAAGTGTAGATTTGCTCTGTATTTCAAGCCATCTCAGTAAGTGGCTGTTGTTTTCATTTTGCCCTTGTCCTGTCTGATATTCAGAGTAACAAGTGCGCTGCCCCGATTGTTGTTTAGACCACCTATGACTGCCTTGGATTTTAATTTTCATTTTATTTCCTCTCAACTGTATTGTAAGAACTTCTGCAGATCTTGTTTAAAGTCTTTCCTCTGGGACCTCATAGGTTTTTGGTTTGTCTAGTTGTAGGTCTCCTAGGCTTGACAGTGTCTTAGCAGTACCCAAAAAAAGCCCCATCATTTTTCTGGAATCAAAGCTGACCATTGAATGTGTGCTACTGTACATACACTTCTAAAARTAACTTGTTTATACCCAGTCATGTCAAGAATCTTTGATTACTGATTTGTACATAACATTTTCTCATTATCAGAAATYGCTAAACATCTTTTAATAGAACAGGCTTAATCACAATCTAATTTATTTAATGAGCAAAATAGTAATTTATGTTCTGTCTTTCTTATATGTGCAGAATCAAACAGAAGACAGTATACGAAAAGAGCTTATAGCATTACAGGAAGACAAACACAACTATGAGACAACAGCCAAAGAGTCCCTGAGGCGGGTCCTTCAGGAGAAAATTGAAGTGGTCAGAAAATTGTCTGAAGTGGAGGTATTGAAATTTTATGCCTGGTCTCATGGAAATGGTAAAATAGTAGTAACTGCTGCTATTTAGATCCCAGTTTTGTTGCTGTAATACATTGGTATCTGTTGCACTCTGACACTTGCAAGATATTAAGCAGTGGTGTTTATTTCTCCTGTCGAATAGGACTAAGATTGTTGAACAGTTAATGAGAAACTGTTCTTTCAGCTCTTCCCTTTTCACTCTGGTTTCAAAATTAATTAAGATGTGTGATRTAAGTTAGTGTATGTGGGCCATACATGAGGGGAAGAATGACTTACATGCGTTTAAAAAAGTCCTGTGAGATGTTGTTTAAACTGTAGCATTTATGGAAACGTGCACTTAACCACTTGTACACAACACACTTTAAAATGAGCTTTTACAATGAAAGTGTTGGACACTTTCTTCAAATTAATTTCTGCCCCAATAATATCTCGCATTACTCTATTTTCCTTTGTTTTCTTTTCCTTTGTCATTATTTGCTGTATTCCCTTGGTCAAGAAGTCTCATAAGACTAGTTGGCATCCTGTGCATATGTACTGTTTGGAAAAAATAGATCATCTGCAGTGTTTCGTAGTTAATTGTGTCTGTCTTTTGTTATTATATATTTCATAATAATTCTGTCTTGCAGCGGAGTTTAAGTAATACAGAAGATGAATGTACACACCTGAAAGAAATGAATGAGCGGACTCAGGAAGAATTAAGGGAATTAGCTAATAAGTACAATGGAGCTGTAAATGAAATTAAAGATCTTTCTGAYAAACTAAAGGTAATGACAGAACTTCATCTCAGAGGACAGAGTTGTGACGAACAAATAATACAGTTTAATTTCTAATATAACAAACAAAAAAGGTTAAGAAACTTGTTAAACAGCATGTTAACAATAGAAAGATGCATATCATCTTTAACATATTCTTTAGATTCAGTTTTAATGCAAAAGAAACTGTCATCAGTTAAGTAACTTCCTAAAAAGGTTCCCTTTTCATTCACTTTGAAAGTTGCCATATTTTTGGAGTTGAAATATATTACAGTATAAAGTTATGTGTAGTGTAAAACTTTATATCCAACTGCTTTTATATAGATAATTTTCAAACTAAAACTAATTTTCAAACTTAAAAGTAAAAGGAATGAAAACTAGAATTAGAAATAAATTTGCATTTCATGTTTACTTTTTTGCAGTTTCAAACATAATTAGTCCACCACATAGTAGTAATATGGCTCATCTTCCATCTTGGTGTCAGGTTTGTTATYAAAATAAATATCTAAGTATATTAATATTTAATGTCCTTTGTGCTGGAGAACCGAATAATCACTTTATGATGAAGCATAATTCTTCAARAGTCTYCAGTCTRGATAAGTAGKAGTTGTGGAGGAGGAAGGTAATGGTGTTACCTCTGGAGACCTGAGATAGCTGTTGCATTTATCTTGGATAAATACTGGAACTGGAACTTAAGTTCCTAGTTCAGCACCTCAGAGAAATTTTTCTTTCCAAATTAARAAGTTAAATTGCTGGTCTCAAGGCAGTTGGTTTCCCGTGATGAGTTCATCATAGATGATGATGAGTATACACAGAAGGATCAAAACTGAARCTTACTACCTTGTTTTGAGGAAGGMGACYGTTTGAAAYKTCTGCTCTTGAGATYCAGCAAGGAAAAAGATGTGGCTTTCCATCAGTTTGGTCTGTGCAGTGTACATTCAGTTCAGAAGGACCCTTGAGTTTTGATTGACTTGAGATGCTGGGAGACTTCAGGCATTTCTTAGTTCCAGGGCCCTTTACTGTTGTTGTAAAATTTATGTTCCTCAGTCAAAAAATGAGTTAAGATATTTTGAGATTTTYTCAGTCTACTTGAAGTGAAATTCACATAAATGTCATAGATTTTGCATTTTTAATTTTTTTTTTTTTCTGATTAGCAAAGGAAGTTACTTACGTACATTTAGTTGCATGAAAATCAAGATGATCTGTTCTTCCACAGTTTAATTTTGATTTGTTTGGGGATTTTTAAAATCTTTTTGAGCAGGTAGCAGAAGGAAGACAAGAAGAAATCCAACAGAAAGGACTTGCTGAGAAAAAAGAATTGCAGCATAAAATAGATGAAATGGAAGAAAGAGAGCAAGAGCTTCAAGCAAAAATAGAAGCTTTGCAGGCTGATAATGACTTCACCAATGAGCGGCTGACTGCTTTACAAGGTTAGTCACTAGCGGGGAGGAAACTTGGATTATTTGTTTTT